TTTCTGCATGACTGGTATGAAGTTCTTTGTCTTGCACGAAATATTTGGTGAATGCTGTGGGGGAGAGATACAGAGCTACCACGAGCAAGCTGTCGTTGACCTTGGCGGCACACAATTTACCAACTTTGTTTGAGGTGCCACAGAGACTGATGGGTACAGCACAGACCCGTACCCATGTAGATGGCTACTTGGCTAATGAGTACACCACGTTTTCATACGTGCCTCTCTGCGATTTATGAATGGTGATAGCACTCGCCTGCACAACGGGTAGCTGGCATCTCCCCTCCGTCTCCTCACTCTTTACGTCCTTATAGGAAACGTCCCATAATGCAACGCACAATCACGAGTGATTTCAGTTGTAGTCCTTGTATGTGACGTCACTCATAACCCTCGTGACGTCATTATGGGAACGTCTCATAATGCAACGCGCGATTCACGAGTGACGTCACTCGTAGCCTTCGTGACGTCATACGTGACTGTTGTATGGGTGACACAATAAGCGGGCAACAGCTAGCGCGCGCTCGTGCGTCTCGCGCCACTGTTCCGGGGCGCCATATCTATCTGAGCCAGCGCACCGTTTGCACCACCCGCTGCTATCCTGCCGCTCTCTCACGCCCGTGACTATGTGTCGTACTCCGGTAGTCCTGCAATAAAGATGTGCCAGCGAAGAACCCCATCGGCCTGTTACTCCAGATACCACACAGTGGCGACGAGGACACGGATTTCGCTGCTACAACGGGATGCAGAGACCGCCGGACGACTCAGCAACTGAGGGCCTTTCAACTGATGTTCCAGTATCTGGCATCTTGAATCAAGGACCAGAGGACCGGAAGGCAGTCACGATGGCCTTATTCGGGCAAGTCGAACCTTTTGATTACACGAAGTGTGATTGGTTATCCTACGAGGAAAGGTTGCGAGCCTTTTTGAGAGCGAACGGGGTAGCGGACGCAAACCGAGTTGACGTGGTCATAAGCCTCATAGGAGCTGACACGTATAAGTTGCTCAAGACTCTAGTAGCGCCTGAGGACCCGGCATTGAAGAGTTTTGAAGATGTGCTGGCCGTTTTGCGAAACCACTTGTCGCCGAGGCCGTCGGTCATCGCAGAAAGGGCAACGTTCCATAAGAGAGAACAACAGGAAGGGGAATCGGTCGGAAAATATGTCGCCGAGCTCAAAAGAATGACACAGACGTGCAATTTTGGAAGTAACCTGGAAGAAACCCTCGGAGACAGATTCGTCAGCGGTCTGAGTCGTGTTGACATTCAGAGAGTTTTGTTTGCCGAAGATGAGAGCCTGACATTCAAGAAAGCTGTGGAAAAAGCGTTAACTATTGAAAGAGCCACCATGAATGTGCAGGCGTGTCATAATAAGGCGGACAACGACCAACTCGAACTGCAGAAACTGACGGCGGTGAAACCGAAAGCGGTAGTGGGGGCTCAGGACAAATACTTCCGTTGTGGGTCCCCTAAGCACATTGCCTCGTCATGCCCGCACCGTAACGCTATTTGTTGTCGCTGCAACCGTGAGGGTCACTTCCAACGTTTCTGTAAAGCATCACTGGCCAATACACCAGGCAGAGCAAAACAGTTCAGAAACTTCTCCGCTGAGGAAGAAAAGAGTGAAGCGATATACGGGCTTCAAGACAGAAACATGAATGCGCCGTTCTACTACACGCTCAAGGTCGGGAACGCTCCTCTTCAGATGGAACTAGACACCGGTGCTGCCGTGTCCATCATTTCGAAACGCCAGTTCCAATCGTTGTTTCCTCGCACAGAGCTGTCTCCGGCGTCACTAATACTGCGCACGTACACCGGCGAGCGTGTTAAGCCAAAAGGAGTGGCGACGGTGGATGTAGAGTACCGAGACTTCAAAGGAAAACTTCCGCTTCACGTACTGGGAGAAGATGGGCCACCTTTGATTGGCAGAGACTGGGTCTACAAGCTCAAGTTTGACTTGGGATCGCTAAACGCGGTCAGCGTTGATGTAAAAGCGTCTCTCCAAGACATCCTAATACGCTACCAGGATGTGTTCAAGGACGAGCTCGGATGCATGCGAGGGGAAGAGGCTCGGCTAAGCTTAAGGGAAGGTGCGAGTCCAAAGTTTCTGAAAGCTAGAAGTATGCCGTTCGCCCTGAAGCCAGCTGTAGAAGAAGAGCTAAAGAGACTGGAGGTGACAGGTGTCATTGAAGCGGTGGCCCATAGTGACTACGCTACACCAGTTGTCCCGGTTTTGAAGAAGGATGGGTCTGTACGCCTTTGCGGGGACTACAAAACAACGGTAAACCCTTGCCTGGACGTGGAGCAGTACCCGTTGCCAAGGTTGGAAGATATTCTAGCAACGGTAGCTGGGGCGACTGTTTTCTCGAAAATAGACTTAAGTCGTGCATACCAGCAAGTTCCGGTCCACCCTGAGTCACAACCCTATCTGACAATCAACACGCACAAGGGTCTCTTCCGCGTCAAGCGTTTGGCGTTTGGGATCGCTTCAGCTCCAGCACTGTTTCAAAAGATAATGGACAGCTTGCTAGCGGGAATTCAAGGAGTAACCTGCTATCTCGACGATATCCTGGTAACAGGGAAGACCGCCGGGGATCACCTGAAGAATTTGGAGCAAGTCCTAAAGAAACTGAGTGACAAGGGCGTCCGAGTCAAGAAAGAAAAGTGTGAGTTCTTGAAGGCAAGTTTGAAGTTCCTGGGGCACCAAGTCGGCGAGCAAGGGGTAGCTGTGTTGGCAGAAAATGTGCAAGCGATCCTCGATGCACCTCAACCGCAAGACTCAAAACAGTTACGGTCGTTTTTGGGAATGGTGACATTCTACGGAAAGTTCCTCCCAGACCTCTCGACCACAATAGCACCGCTGAACGAGCTACTAAGAAAAGATGTCGTCTGGACCTGGAGCAAGCGCTGTCAAGACGCTTTTAACATGGTGAAGAGGCTTCTGGTGGACGCACCTGTCCTGGCACACTACGACCCCAAGGCAGACCTTCAGGTGTCATGTGATGCCTCGGCATACGGTCTCGGAGCCGTCCTGTCCAGGGTGTACTCCAACGGCGACACACGGCCTATCGCGTTTGCGTCGAGAACTTTGACATCGAGTGAAAAGAACTACAGCCAACTAGAAAAGGAGGCACTGGCTATTGTGTTTGGCGTGAAGAAATTTCACATCTACTTGTTTGGACGATCCTTCGTGTTGGTCACTGATCACGAACCGTTGCAAACCATTCTTGGTCCAAAGACGGGAATTCCGAGCATTGCTGCCGCACGTCTGCAGAGATGGGCTATTACCCTTTCCGCCTATCAGTACCGATTGGTTTACCGACCGGGTCGACTCAACGTGGAGGCGGACTGCTTGTCACGACTTCCAGTTCCTGGGTTTCAGGATGAAGACTACGAGGATGACGTCGCGGCGTTTCTCAGTCTCCGCCTGCAGTCTTTTCCGGTAAGCAGCCAAGAGATCGCACAATTTACAGCAAAAGATAAAGAGCTCTGTCAAGTGGCAAGGTTCCTTGCCGGTGCGTGGCCCGCAAAAGTAGAAGATTGTCTGAAGCGTTACTCTGCAAGAAGAAGCGAGCTGACGTGGCACCACCCTATTGAAAAAACCAGCTTAAGCTGGTCCCAGCTTCAAGCTGGGTTATTGCCCCAGCATGCCCAGCTTGGCATGCTGGTCATGCTGGTTGATCTGGTCATACTGGTCATGATGGTTGATCTGGTCCCAGCTTCAAGCTGGGTTATTGCCCCAGCATGCCCAGTTTGGCATGCTGGTCATGCTGTTAAACTGGTCATGCTGGTGAACTTCCCAACCAGTTTAACCTGTTTAAATTAATACACAGAATAAAAAAGCCAAGCTCGTCAGAAAAGCCAACTCGGCATCCAATTTATTATTTTCGTACTTGCGGCAGCCTCACATGAACTCAAATGCTACACATCCTCGGCGCTGACACAGTACTAACCGACGCACAGATTCTCGGTGCAAATTGTCTACAATGTTAATAAAACCAGATTGCTTATCTCTCAACACGAAAAAAATACTAGACACAGGCCAAAAACAGGCAATAGCAGACGAAAATACTACACGGACGAGAGAAGCGAACCTGGGTCCCGCCAGCGATGGGGGCGAAGCGGCAACTTGCGTGGTCGGCAGAGGCGAGGAAATCCGTGTGGCTTGGATGGCATTGGCGATACTCCTCGGCACCGCCGTCATTCTTGGGCACACACACGTTCGAAGACACGAAGCGACGCCGCAGTCGGGACGTCTGACATCTTCCCGCACTGAACGGACTGCCGCTCGCTGTCTTCTCAAAACCCGCTTCGCTTGCACCGTCGTTCAACTAGTCTCCAAACAACGCGCACACAGCCGTCCCTTCGATCTGCCCTCTGCCCAAGCTATCCAAACGCGTCTTCGATTCTCCGTTTCTACCACTCTCTCTCTCTCTCTCTCTTTTCTCGCACACAAAGGTAGCTTGCAGCGCGCCTGACGCGCCCGGTGGTCTACCAAAAACGAGAGGACAAAGAACAGGACGTGGCCTCGTTCCAGCAGCCGACCTTGTCGCGCGCGCTCCCAGCAATGCCAGTTCGGCTATCTCTAGCCGACCTTGGCGTGCGCGCTCCCAGCATGACCAGCTTGACCACCACGATTATTATTTCGACCAGATTCACCAGCTTGTCTCCCAGCATGACCAGCTCGTCTCCCAGCTTGACCACATTGGCTCCATGGAAAACCAGTTTGACCAGTTAAGACCAGACTGGCTCCCAGCTACACCAGATTGAATCTAAAACCAGATTCGAGTGAGACCATGCTGGTTTTTACTTAGACCAGACTGACCAGCTTAAATTCCAGCTTGCCCAGCTTAAACCAGCTTGATTGCCAGCTAAACCAGTTTAATTACCACATTGACCAGTTTGACCACCTTGATTACCAGCTTGACCACCTTAATTACCAGCTTGACCAGTTTGATTTTCATGCTGGTTTTTCCAATAGGGCAGAATTGCCTTTTGTGGGGAATGAGGGTTGTGATCCCGAAGGGACTGCGCGAACGCGTACTGGACGAGCTGCATGAAGGGCATCCTGGAATCGTAAGGATGAAAGAACTGGCACGCAGCTATGTATGGTGGCCGGAGGTCGATGCGGATATTGAATATCGCGTCAGGTCGTGTGATACCTGCCAACAGCAGCAGAGTCTTCCAGGTCCAGCCCCGCTGCATCCGTGGTCCTGGCCAACTCGTCCGTGGCAAAGGCTGCACTTGGATTTTGCGGGACCTTTCCAGGGCCGTCATTTTCTGGTGAGCGTCGACTCCCACTCCAAGTGGCCCGAGGTTTTTGTGATGAACAGCACATCGGCCGAAGCAACTATTGAAAAGCTGAGGGAGCTGTTTAGTCATTTCGGTCTGCCAGATGTTGTTGTCAGTGACAATGGCCCCCAATTTTGTTCCCAAGAATTTCAGATTTTCTTGCGAGAGAACGGTGTGAGGCACGTCAGGACCGCCCCCTACCATCCATCAAGTAATGGGCTGGCTGAGCGTTTCATCCGCACCCTGAAGGAGGCCTTACGAAAAGAGATGCCGGGCCGGCCTCTGTCCCGTCGACTAGCAAGTTTCTTGTTAGCTTACAGAAACACACCGCACGCCACAACCCTTCAGAGTCCTGCGGAGTTGCTGCTTGGGCGGCGGCTCACTACCCGTCTCGACAGACTGCGACCCTCTGCAGAGGAAACTGTTCACCGCAAGCAGGACGTGCTACAGGTGAAGCACAGTGGCAAACACCGACACTTCGTGCCGGGTGATAAGGTGTACGTCAAGAACTTCCGGCCGGGTGAGAGGTGGTTGCACGGAGTCGTCATGGCTAGATCCGGACCGGTCTCCTACAGGCTTCGCGTGACCACACCGCGGGGGACCTTCGTGTGGCGGCGACACCAAGACCACCTGCGGTTGCGGGAGAGCTCTACCCCAGAGGAGGAGGAAGGTGGTTTGCTGATACCGAGTGTCCTGCCATCATCGCCAACCCCAGGGCAAGGGGGACTCGTGAACGAGCTGCCTCCAGTTGGGTCACCGGGGGTAGAGGGACATGGGATCAACTCCAGTCTCCGGTCGTTCCCCAGCCCAGCCGCAAGAAATTCAGCGCCGGTATCCCGAACGGCAACGGCGTGCGCCTAATAGGTTTTCGCCTTGAGAAGGAAGAGAAAAAGACGAGGACTTTGTGTTTTTTTTCAGAACTGTAATTATTTTGTATTTAGTATGTCTGTACTTTGTACTTTCCAGAACTTCAATTATTCTCGTGTTTTGTTAAATTGTCATATCGTGTTACTTTGTGAGTATTGCACTGGAACGCCGTCGAATGGTATTACTGTGCTGAACTAAGTGTGGGGGAGTGTTGTATGGGTGACACAATAAGCGGGCAACAGCTAGCGCGCGCTCGTGCGTCTCGCGCCACTGTTCCGGGGCGCCATATCTATCTGAGCCAGCGCACCGTTTGCACCACCCGCTGCTATCCTGCCGCTCTCTCACGCCCGTGACTATGTGTCGTACTCCGGTAGTCCTGCAATAAAGATGTGCCAGCGAAGAACCCCATCGGCCTGTTACTCCAGATACCACAGTGACGTCACGTATGACGTCAGAATGGGAAACGTTTCATAATGCAAAGCGCGATACGCCGACGGCAACGGCGACACCGACGCCGTTCAAGCCGGAAACGGGCGCCTAAGAGCTGCGCTCTAAATTTTCTCCGGAAATTCAGCGGGGAAACTGACGTTACCTGACCTCAACGTTAATACCGTTTCCGATACAGATCCAACTGGCGCCGCACTACGCTCGAGGAGGAGTGGGAAGGAAGGAGGGAGAGGAGGAAGGAGAGGAGGAGGGTGAGAAGGAAACTGGGGGAGGGCTCCCGGAAAATTTGTTGAGAGAAAAGGAAGAGGGGAGTTGCGGTCGGGGAGGTCCCCCGGCGATTTATAGTGGGTACTTTGTTGTGGGGAAGCAGACGATTTGGAATGAACGCAGTCTTGATCTCGTGTAACGCGCGTTGTCAACGTCAACGACGTTGACAACGCACGTTACACGACATCAAGACTGTGTGAAGTGATCGAACTCAGAGCTTATTTTTACTCTCAGAAGCACAGGAGCAATGAGCGCGCGCTCTTCAAATTGGGACTATTTCTCCGGTTTTCACGAACGTACTGCATTAATGGTTTTGATTTCGAAGAGCTGCTTTCTTAGCATTTTGAATTTGGGTTGCTTTGTTATTTTATTTCACAAAGTCAATTATAATGCTTTTCGGGATTGGGTCAATTCAGGGCAAAAATTTGTTTCCCAAACTTATTTGAAAGGTGCTGTTCCTATTCCGCTTACAAATCGATACGGTGAGCTGAGTCAAGGGTATTAAAAATATTACCCATCAATTATCTCTAACAATAAGCAACCAGCGTTTAGTCGAACATCAAAGAACAGAGTTTCTTAATCTGCTAGAACGCGTAAGCACGTGAAAAGAAGATATCGCACTCCGAATCGCCTGCTTCTCCTCAACAAAGTACACATAACAAAATGGGGGGGCCTCCCTAACCGCAAGTCCCCTCTTCTTTTCTCTCAACAAATTTTCAGGGGGCCCGTCCCCAGTTTTTTTTTTTCTCTCTCTCTCTCTCTCTCTAATCCTCGTCCCCCTCCTTCTTTCCTCCTCTTCCTCGAGCGTAGTGCGATGCCAGTTGGATCATACCCAGTTTCCCCGCTAAGTTTAGCGGGCTAAATGACGTCACAACTTCGGGCCACATCACTCATGAACAAATTCAGCGGCAGGAGGAGAGGAGGAAGAAAGGGGGAGGGAAGAGTATGCCCCTCCTACTCCATACTCTCCTGTCCTCCTGCCGCAGAATTAGTTCATGGGTGACGTGGCACGAAGCCGTGACGTCATTTTACCCGCTAAATTTAGCGGGGAAACTGAATTGGTGTTGAGGTGTCGTGACGTCAATATCCTCGCTAACTTTAGCGGGAAAACTTAACCCGCTAAATTTAGATGTTTCCGCTAAATTTAGTAGGAAACTTTATCTTGCTAAATTTAGTAGGAAATTTTCCTGCGGCGGAAATATGTCCCCGCTAAATTTAGCGCAAAAGTTTCCCCGCTAAATTGAACGGATTAAGTTCCCCGCTAAATTTAGTGAGGGAATTGACGTCACGTGTCCTCAACGCCAATTCAGCTTCCCCGCTAAATTTAGCGGGGAAAATGACGTCACGTGCCACGTCACCCATCTCACACCTTCGTACCACGTCACCATGAACAAAATCAGCGGCCGGAGGAGAGGAGGAAGAGGAGGAAGAGGGGCCTGCCCTCCACTCCGTATCCTCCCCTCCTCCTCCTCAAGAGCTACGCTCTAGTTTCGCATTCCAGATATTTGTAAACGTCTTTAATTTCTGTTTGTTTTTACATAACATTTGTTCTATATAAACATGAAATTTTTGATTAGCCTGCTTTTAAATAAGATACATTAAAAAAAGGTATACAAAAAGATTTCGAGGACACCTAAAGCACTTCTTATGAGTCGTGAATGTGAAAGCATGAATGTCGTTCTTCCGCTCCCTTAGTTCGTCTGCGGTGTACTGGCGTGGACGGCCACGTTTCGCTACGGCCGAGGTTGCGGCCGATGACGACATAGATGCATCAGGCGCCGCCATGTACCTCGGCGGCGAGAGGAGCAGAAGCAAGTAAGGCAAAGGTCTCTTGATCGCTCCATGGGGGTCGCGGAGGCGCCATGTTGCATCCGTTCCAAAAGAAAAGAAGTGGCAGGCGCATGTTGCAAAGACTGGAAACTACATTATTTCTTTAATATATTGCTTTCGTGTAAACCTAACCGGTACCAATTACAGCAGCAAAGGATCTTCGTTATGTTACTTCTTACGGACTGCCACGTGGACGCTGTCATTTCTCGGGGAAGCACTACCCACCACTGAGCCAGACCAACCACGCATGGACACGTCGTTCTTGGTCCCGGCACCATCGTCATCGACGGCAGGCTCGGAGGGGATAACCAGTCGCCCGCCATCAAATCCCCTCAGTGGGCACAGCGGCAGGGCACACTGCAAGATGTCGCTTAACCCAATTCTGTAGTTTCTCGCAGCTGTTGCTTTTTGTTCGGTGCTCCTGTCGCCTCCAGCCAGTTCAACGGTACCGATCACAGCAGCAAAGGTTCTTCGTCGTGTTACTTCTTACGGACTGCCACGTGGACGCTGTCATCGCTCGGGAAAGCGCCACCCACCACTGAGCCAGACCAACCACGCATGGACTCGTCGTTCTTGGTCCCAGCACCATCGTCATCAACGGCAGGCTCGGAGGGGATAACCAGTCGCCCGCCATCAAATCCCCTCAGTGGGCACAGCGGCAGGGCAACCTGCAAGATGTCGCTTAACCGAATTCTGTTGTTCATGCAGGTTAGTAAAAAAAAAAAGGAATCGGCTTTTCGAAGTAATTATAGATGTCTTGTTCTGCAGTCTAAGTTGTGACATTAAGCAATGCAAAACGTCACGCTTGCATTGCTTAATGTCACAACTCAGACTGCGTTTTTTGGTCTAAACATATGTTTCGGCATTGTCATTCGCTGAGCTGCCTCCGTAAGTTGCGGTAATTGGCTCTCCGAGTGTTGTGCGGGAAAGCAGACGTACGGACTTTTTTTAGAGTGTAGAGATCGCCATCAAGCAACACGAACTCTATTTCATTTCTTTTACAACGCTTTATCTCTGGTAGAAACAGGTTTCTTTCTTATTGGTGGTTATTTTAATTTACCGGATATTCAGTGGACAGAACTCAAACCGTCTATTTCCAACTATACTGCTATATACTCAGCATTTGTTAATCTTGTCAATTACTAGGATCTTTATCAGTTTGTTACAGAGCCTACGAAGATCGGTTCTAGCCGTTCAAGTGTCCTCGACACCTTGTGTTCAGTAATCGTGCTTCGGCGGTCTCCGCTCTTGCCGTTATCCCGGGAATTAGTACCCAAAAGGCTGTTGTTGCAAATCTGTCTTGTTCATTTGATTATAGTGCTTCTTTACGTCCTAAAAAAGTTTACTTTTTCGACAGGGGTGATTATGCTGGTTTCTCTAGTAGACTTGAAGAATTTTACTCGGAGTTTGAGGACATGAGCGTGACAGGTGATATTAGCTTACTGTGGAACATATTTAGGAATAGAATAGAAACTCTGGTTGATATTTTCGTTCCATCGAAAATTATCACCTCGAAGCCTCGTCAGGATAAACCATCGATGAACTCCGAGTTACAGAAACTTATTAATAAAAATAAACGTGCACTAACTCAATACCGAGTTTGTAATGACTCTGTATCTTACAATAAACTAAAGGAGAAGGGTGTCGCCCTTAAACGTGCAATCACTTCGTCCCGGGCAAACTACTTTTCAGCACTAAATGTGAAACTCAGGCAAAACCCGAAGGAATCCTGGAAGTTTATTCGCTCTAATAAAAAAAAAAAAAAAAAAAGAGATATTGTTGGAACTTTTTCCCTTTTGGTCGAGGGTAGCCTTTTAGAGGATGACTCTTTAAAGGCTGCCAGTTTCAATTACTTCAAGTTTGTTTCCTCGGATATCGTGACGGGGAATTATTGCGATTTCGAAGAAGTACCCGTTTTTACTGACTTTAAGTCTGCAATCTATTTTGATACACACGGTGTTTTCAACCTTTTAAAGAAAATTAGACAAGGTTCAGCACCTGGCCCCGATGGAATTCCCAACGCTGTCCTGAAGTCTTGTGCTGAAGTTATTTCGAGCTACTTGGTAATTTTGTTTACGGTATCGTTAAAATGGTGGCTTCTTGCCTCTGGACTGGAAATCTGCAATTGGTCCTCCACGTCCATAAGTCTGGCCCTAAAAATCTTGTACAAAACTACAGGCCCATCTCACTGACAAATGTGTGCTGCAAAACTATGAAGCACATTACTTACACTAACCTAATGAAACACCTTAGTCTTATAAATTTTTTGAGCCCGTCTCAACAGCGTTTTCGTACCGGATTTTCGTGTACCATTCAAGTTCTATCACGACATTTCACAATCGTTTGATAAGGGCCGGCAAGTTGACTGTATCTTTCTGGACTTCAAAAAGGCCTTCGACATGGTACCTCGTGCTCTTCTTATGAACAAGCTTCACAAACTTAACATAGAT